AATTTGTGTAGAATTTATTTTTCCAAACTTTATTTACACTGTAAATCACTATGCATCTACAAAAGAATCGTCCATTGTGGGTTTACGCCGCGATACGCCCATTATTCTCTTCTTTCCATGCTTGGAAACGACCTGAAACATAAAATGATCGAAAATTTCAAAACAGGTTTTCTTACAAAAAAAAATTAGGTCGTTGACTGGCCGAAGATTTACATGCCGTCAGTCACTTGAAAAATTGATGCGCAAAAAATGTGGATTCATTTACTTACCCCCATCTCTTCATGAAAATTTTTTAGCTCTTCGATGAAGCCGGCTGGTGGTCTGATACCTATAAGATTTGGATCAACGCAAAAATTTGAAAAACTGTGAAAGATTTTTAACAAAAAAATATAGTTCCATTGAATGAAGGCAGAATTAGGTCTGTCAGGGTTGGTTGAGTATTTTAGCACCATAAGGCTTAACCGTGACCGAGAAATGCAAGTACGAACTCTCGCCCAGACCGTATTTTTCCAGAGCGAGATGTGTTGCAACGGTACCGGGCAAGAGTTTTAATCAGTACTTCTTGGCCATGAATGGGTCTACGAACTTCCGGTCAATAACTTAGCCAAACTCTTTTAAGATTACAATTACAATGTGAGACTAATTTTTAGCAAACCTGGCGGTCCTGGCTCCACTCGTCGTACTCCAGTCATATCAGGTAAAGGCGGCAATGGTCCATTGAATCTATGTCGGGTTCCCGAATCATCTGTTAAATCCTAAAGATTCCCACGTATCTAACTTTGGAATAGTAAAAACTCCTTGATGACTTACCTCAAAGGCGCTAGGATCTTCTAGTGAGTCTTGCTTTGTAGTATAAACGAATAGAAGTAACAAGACGCTTGTTGATATCAGCATTTTCTAGGTCACTGAGATGATGGTACCTTTTATGGGGTAAGGTAAAAGAACAAAATTGCCGCAATAGATGATTTGATTTTTTGGTAAACACCAAAAGACGTCAGAACAGGTTTTTGAATGATCAACCCAATGCATTGGATACAAAAAGTTAACAGAATAAAGCAATGTTTTGTGTTTATGGTGTCGAACTTCCCGATATTATAAAATTTACGACTGAAAGGAAAATCTGATACTTGAACCCGTTTTTTATGAGCTTTCCATTTTGAACTTTGCTGCAAATAAAGTGCTTAGATTGATAGAAACCTTGTTTACATCTAAATATTTCAATTGGAACTTGTTCTAAATTGATCACTGCTGCAATTTATGATGTTACTGTGTTGAAAATGGGTTTTATAGATATGGTACCGCTTATTGCTCATAAATCCACATTAATTTGAAACAAGCGCGTTATCATTTAAGATGATAGCTCTTTTCATCATTATTATGATTGATTTGGTTTCCATAATATGTAAGCTAAAGTAATCAACTTTGATGATTTCATATGAACCAAATGTCTCAATGTTTCCAAAAAATAATTATGCAGACAAGGCAGTTATGAGTAAAGGATACTGAAGACGAAAGTTCATAAAATTCAAGGGTTTCATTTATTCTGTTTAGAATATGATGCACTAAAAGAATGATAGGAGAAACTGATAATCGTGAGAATTATTCAAATTGCGTTCGTTACTTCATCTGTCTATATTCTCGGCCACACTAGACTAACAAAAAGTGAGAAAAATTAGAATACAGGCAAGTAGAAATTTTGACTTTCTACCCGAAAGTTATGGTGTAAAGATACATCGAGTATGAACCTCTTTTTTTCTTAGCGGAGGGTCAAGGTGAAACTTCGGGAACAAAAGAAACGATGATTGATTATGCATCAACAAAGGCGTGTAGGTGCTAATACCTTCCGTAGAACATGGTAAGGAAACTTTCTAAGAAAACAAAACCCACTTTTCAAAAAAGTTAGCCTCTCATGTTCCGCGGTGTTTCAGTAAACTACATACATAGGCCTGCCAACAACTGTTGAATACTTCATATAAGTAGCTCAATGCTTTCCTTGCTTTTGGAGTAATGCGATCAAGATGCTTGGTTTTTAAATTCAT